TCGCATTAGATTCAATGAACAATCAAAAAGATTATTTGGAAAAGATAAATCAAGTTGGAAGTTTCATGGTTAATCGAGAATCGCTGATTTTTACAGGAGCGAGGTCTGCCGTTATACGCATTTTGTGAAAACTGTTTTATTCTGAATTTCGACAGTATTGCAAGCATCATTTTCTGGATATTTGCTGCATATTGTATTTCAATTTCGATTACTTTTGGAGTTTCGATCGCTGTCTTCAGCATTATAACATTGAGAAAATCTACTCATTTATTCTCAATCAGGACATTAGAAATGCAAAAGAATTTTATAAAAAGTTTATTTTGTCAGGTTCGTTTCGACGATCATTTCGAAGATGTCTTTCCCTTTGAATGAACATCAACATCTAACTACAAAATTAGCGTTTGGTTCATTTCGTTTCTTGATAAAATTAAATCCGATCCACGATCACATAAAAATGTGAAAGAAAATTGAACTATTGACCTACAACATTTATTTCTTTTGAAGCAAACAATTTATAAAAACTCTAATTATTTTCAGATTCTTGTTCATTTGACATTTCTCGGTGGCCCGATGATTGGTTTATTTTTAGCATTGGTTATAGATTTTTCAATATTAGATCAATTTATAATGCGTAAGTGTTTCATTTATTTTTAAATTAAGATGACATTTTCAGCTTTATCATACGTTTTCACTATAATTTGCGCACAGCACGGCACTGCTTCAACGTTAATCATGATTCTATATACTCGTCCGCTACGTCATAATTGTGAGTTTTTCAGAAATTTCGTCTTCACCTTTCAATATCCTCACATTGTTTTTTTTCAGTGAAACGATTGTACAGACAAGTTGTCGGAAGAAACGAGTCGGATATTATTGCTGTAACAGAAATCCAATCTCGAAAAAGATAAAAAATTATGGATTTCGCAAAAAAAACTCAAAAAAGCGCGGTGAAAACTATCAAAAAATGATGTTAAAAACTTTCAAAATGTGCATGGACCAATTATCAAAAAAGTTTTGTAAATGTATATTCATTTTTGTATTGACGTGTACCTTTTTTTCACTCATTTAAATTATTTTTAATATGAAAATTGCGGTTATATTTTATTATCTTGCTGTAGTTATTAAATCGAAGGTTTAATTATGATATGCAGATTTTCGGGGGAAAAATAAAAAATCTGTAAAAACCCATCAGAAAACTCTAAAAACTTTTTGTAGATTTGGAAAAAAAATAATTTCACCCGGAATTTTGAGTTATTTTCAAAATCTGCATAGTATCATAATCATAAGAGTGAAATCGAGAAAATTCGAATTTGAAGATTATTATATACAAATTGGTTTATAATTCTGATGATTGTGTATTGAATGAATGTTCAATTGAATCAAATCAAACAAATGCAGTTGAAGCACCGTATTGCATTTCGACAAACCAAAGTTTTGAATGTGTATTGACACCAGAATCAAGTTTCCGAGAATTTCCTCTCGCAATTTATGTAGGCCATTTTAAGTATTTGCAAAATATTCGAGTAATTTTATAGGAAACTTTGAAACTGAACATGGAACTAGGCGAACCAAGCAGTAAAAACCTTGAAGAAGAGAAAAATGAAATTCGCAGAAAAACCGAGTGCATCATACAGGCGATCGAAAATACGTTTACCAACTCAACTCTTCAAGAGCAGGTTGAATATCGAGAGAATGCGAGAAGCAGTTGATTGGTTTTAGGCGAAGAATTGCCAAATAAATTACGCAAACCTTGAAAATGATTTTGATAATACCAGTGTAGTGTATGGTGGATATGTCAAAATCAGAGAATTGGATTTCATTCGAACACGCTTTAAGGCAGCATATATTAATACTGTATTATTATTATTATTATTCCCTTCTAATTTGGAATTTTCAACTAATTTTTAGTTGTTTCCACGGCAATTGGTTTGCATTAATGATGATGCCCTTAAATGTTTTTGTACTGCTCCATTATGTAGTAACGAAAATCTTCGACCAATATTTACGCATGCTAAAATTCATGTATGCTTTTTCTTATTGCGAAAAAAAAACTCAAAGAAAAAAATCTAATTTAACAACGTTTGAAGTAGTTTTCGGCAGTGGGGTTTTAGAGATGCAAAATATATTAATCTTGAATTATTTCCTCTCACTCTCACTGCATAATATACATAATGATTTTTCATGTTTTTAGAGAGCATTGACAAATCCGTTGCCCGAAGCAAAGACAAAACTCAATAAAACATATGCAAAGTAAGGATTTCAATTTGAAATTCTCTCCAAATTTTTGTTTTAGAATTAGCACCGACAAAATGCAAAAAAAGCTTCATGATAATTTGAAAAACTATGAAAATAGTTTAGAGTACGAAATAAAACAGATGAAAAGATTTCTTAACAATTTGAAAGGCGAACAATTCTCATTGTAACTCCAATCAACAATTTAATTAAGAATAATTAGTTGATTAAGAGCTCCAATGTTAATCAGCTGGCTAATAACCTCGATATTTCTAATCTCAATGGTTCTTGTTTGTCTGTTATCATTTAACGAAAGCGATGAGTTATGGACAAGTCTTGATTTGAATGCCGACGAGCTCTCTTATGCTGCCGATTCCATAGAAACGAACGAAGAACCGAATAATAATGGGAAAGGGTAACTTGAATGGAAATAATTATCTTTAATTTAACTAATTGATCCATTTAGATCAAAATAGGATGCTTTCAAAACAATATACATTCTTTTTAATATCGGAAATCTTTTTATAAATTATGGTCATAGTATTTTCGTGAACAGATGTACTTGAAATACTTGACTGGCTCGGGCTTAATGGGTCCCGTAAAATAAAATGTGTTTGTACTCGAAACGGATGCGAAAAAAAACTTAAAATCTCGAAACTTAAAAATAACCGAATTACTAAAAAAACATTATAAAAATAATTGAGACACCTTAAAAAATGGTGGTTTCTTCCATCATAAAGGAAAAACATACAGTGCTGGCCATAATTCTATACAAAATTGCACTTTCAGTCATAAATTTTTTCAATGTTGGCCGATTGATCTGAAATTTTATGGCAATGTTTCTGACACTGTCCATGTGTCCAACTAATTCACCAATCCACTTTTTTAAATTTCAAATTGAATGAAAAAAAAACTAAAATTTTATTGAAAATAAAAAATAAAAAAAACAAAAATGAAGCAGCACTCAATTTTGATCATTTTTATACTCGTCTGTAGGTTTTTATTGCGTTAAGCGGAAGCGACGGGATTAGGTGCCGTCTGTGCAACAGTATGACAAGATATTCCGAGAGAGGAGAGCTCACATCACCCCTCGTCTGCCGGCTCACATTATTTTCTTTCACATTATGATTAAATTAGTTTTTCTTCAAACGCTCTACTACCCTTACGAATCTGCGTTTCATATCCATTTCTTTTTAGCAACAAAAACCAATCATAAACTTCCACGTGAACTTTTGATTTATATAATTTTATACTAGTTTATATCTAGTTTATTTTTGATTAATGTTTTCTTCCAATGATATCTTTTGATTATGTATTATTTCTGTCATTCTTATCAATATGCTTCAATTTTAATTTGATCGAAGCTCAAGAATATATAAAATTTACGGTATGTAAATTTTATAATACTAATATAAATAATACTAATAAAGTTGGAATCACGTGACAGCAGGCGGAAAATTGACAGAATGAGAAAAAAACATTAGGTAAAGGTATTTGCTAGTGCGCGGTGTGCGCCTTTAACCTATCCTATACCCGTAAATCAATGCTTTTAATTTTGTGTCAAGACCACTGGCAATGTTTTTTTTTTCTGTCGTTTCGCCAAATTTCTACAGTCGCACAATTACCGAATTCCTCCATCTTTTCATTTCCAGTTATCATTCCAATCAAGGGTTTCTAAAATGTGTGATGAATATGGGAAAATCCAGCATGAAAGGAATGATATCTTAGTCAAAAAAGAATTTTCGAATTGGCCATCATGCGATGTACAAAATCGCATATTTTCCTGCTTCTGTGAAAACGACTGCGAAGGCGATAAAATCTACGTAAGGGTTTTTAACGCTACTATTAATATAATTATAATGGATTCCAATTGAACTATGATCGCTTAGGCATTGATCATTCTCCTTGAGAAATTACCGGAGCATAGGCTATTAGAAGAGCGAATATCGGCAACAGATGAGCAGAGAAAAGAGCTTCGACAATATTTGTCATGTGCTAAAATAGCAGTTCGAGAAATATTTGGTTCGTTAATTTATTTCCAAACATCGTGATTTCATTCGTGTTTAGATCTTGAAGTGTCTGAAAAGTATCGAATAAGTCGAAAAAATTCAATTGAAACCATGCGTCAATCTATCAAATTGGACGCTCGCAATTATATGGAATTTGATTATTCGCGTAAAAGAATTAACGATGAAATCCTGATTTCAAGTATCCAGAAGGATGACGATGAGATATCAGTGTAATATTTGAAATTGAAAATGATTCTCGTAAAGCCGGTCAATTGCCAGATTTCAGAATTCCTCTTATAATTGCATGGATACTATCTTGCACGTTTTTTTTCATTTTGTTCTCACTATGTTTGCTCGCATTAACCGAAAGTAAACACATTGATCCAACTTAAAAAAAATATATTTATCATTTTAAAGGCGAAGATGTATATGTAGGGGTTCCAATGAAATTTGACGTTGAGGAATTAACCGAAGATAAGACAGTACTGGTTATTCGGAATTTGAAAAGTAAAAGTCGAAGTCACACAACTGATATGAGCGATGTTGCGTCACAAGAGACGAGTATGGCAAACAGTTTTACACAAAAAATATTGGCATTTTTTCAGCTAATAACGATGATGTAAAACCTTCTAAAAAATGATATTTTTATTCATAAAAATACACCGTTGTTGTTCATGTCAAAACGTTATTATACCAATATACAGACTAAGGCGACCCTGATTTTGAGGGAATGAGTTTGAAATTGTTGGCGAAATGAGTCTAATTGCTGTGAATCAATCTTGGTGAGATTTCAATTCGTCGCTTGATTGTCTTAATTCCGCGAGCGGCGGCGATCCGTCGGTACGGCATCTCTTCGGCGGCGGTTACAAGAATTTGGTTGTCGCCGAGTCCGCGTTTGGAGTTTGGCTGCAATTTGAAATTGGAAGACATTCTCAGAGCTGTTGACAAATTGCACAGCAATTGATTGGAAAATTTTTGAAAAGGGAATGTATAAAAACTAAAAAATTCTAAAACAAAAAACTTTCAAAAAATAATGAATTTACCGATTTGTCGTCAACGGCGTTCGTCTTGGTGCCTTCCGTCTCTTCTTCATAATCGCCGTCATCCTCGTAAATAACATCTTCGCCTTTGTGACTTGCTTCAATGATTTCAGGTTCTTGCCTTGAAACAGTCACTGCGGGGGTGCTTGTGGTCACCGTCTCTTCGACAACATCATCATATGTAGCAAGCGTTGACTACAATAAAGCTTGATAATTGCTCATTACGCGCGCTCGCCTTACCATGACCGTGGCAGCGACTGGCTGAACTGTCGTCGACTCGCTAACAACCTCTTCCGGTGCGAATGTCGATCCGCTTCTCGAGTCTCCAACCTTGTTGCCATGGTCATCATAATAAACATAGTAGAACTCATCTCCCTTTTTTTCACTTCCAGACTTTGCTTGTTTATCATCAACCTCGTGGGCAAAATCGACATCAGAGGTTGTTGTAACAACCGGAGCTTGAGTGCTAGCAATGAAAACAGTTGCATCGGTGACCGCATCGGTTGCCTGCTCTGTGAAAAATGTTGCCTGAGTGGCTGGCTGAACGTCGACAATGCTCTGCTCAGCGGCCGGAGTGATGAAATTGTCATGGGTGAATGGTTCTTGGGTGGTGGTGACTTCTTCAGTTGATAAATTGACTTGCTCTTGTCCAGGTTCCTCATTGTTGTAGTCTTCAGCTTCAGAAATCTCTCCTTCATGGAGAACTGGCGCATGAGTAACACGAACTTCTGATGCAATAAATTTGTATTTAACAATCTTAAATCGCTTTTAAAATACCTTGAGAAAGAGCAGAGACGGGAGCTGGTGGCTGCTGATAAACATTCGATTGGGTGATAAGAGTTGGAGGAGGCCTTTGAGGTTGAACTTGAGCCGTTTGAGACACATATGGACGGGGAGCTGGTCGAAGGAATCGCGGATTCGGCAGCTGGTACATTTGTGGAAGAACTTGAGGTTGCTGTTGTGGATAATATTGCGGTTGTCGGAATGGAGTCAGATCTCTGTAGAATACAGCGTATCCATTGTTTCCGGTAGTTGGGTAACCGGAGGAAGCATAACCACCAGAATAACCTGCGCCATATCCGCCGGAGTATCCACCGCAGCCGCACGACGAAGTGAATAACGAACTGAACAGAATTTGTTTAGAACGAATGGAACTCATTGGTCTTACGGGCAGAAGCAGGATTCAACGAGTGTCGTCGTTAGTGCCAAGACAAGAACTTTCAACATTCTGAAACAACAATTCATTTTCAACGTATATACGTCAATAAAGCTATCAAATAACAATGAGGAGAAGCAAGAAGGCGAGAAGTTCCTCATTGTTTGCAATTAAACTTCGACCTTCGAATGAAATATTGAATGGTGTACAACGGACACTGTACCTACAGGGTGTCATTTAAGTTCCCGCACAACTTTGAAGGCATATATTTCTGAAACTAAAAGTGCAAATCAAACGAGACTCGAAATATTTTTTATCTATAGTATAACAAATAATTATCTATTAACTCTTTTTGATTCGGTCTCCTTTCGCAGCTATGACTTCACGGAGACGCTTCGGGTAGGATGTGACTGTGGTACGCAGGTATTCGATGGAAAGATTGTCCCATTCCACCAGTAATGTCTTCTTCAGAGCCTCTATACTTGAGTGGGGTTTTGCGTTGACCTTCTCCTGCAAGAGCCCATCACGGAAAAGTCAAGCGGGTTCAGGTCTGGGGAGAAATCAGGCCATTCGGATGACTTGATGAAGTCGGGAAAATGGGTCTGGCACCACTCCTGAGTAGTTTTGGCAGTGGTGGCGGGTGCTCCGTCCTGTTAAAAAACCTATTTCTGCCCACCGAAATGCGTTTTGGCCCAGGGTATCACATGCTTCTCCAAAATGTCCCGAACGTAGACTTCTTTGTTCACTTTCACCCCCTGATCCGCGAAAACCAGGGAGCACTTCCCGGTTGAGCAGATGGCACCGAAAACCATCACACTGGCAGGATGTGAGGCTGGATGATATGTTCTTCCTTTCTCAGAAGCTTGCTGGGATGTCTGGGCAAGTACTCGATGGTTTTGTGAGTTGAATGCCGCCTCCACAGTGAACAGCTTCTCATCGGAGAAGACAGTGACGAGGTGTTCTCCAGACCGCGTGCGAGCAAGAAGTCGTTTTGCTTTTTCGAAGCGTCTCTACTTGTTGGCGGCCGATAGAATTGCCGCTTTTTGGACACGATATGGGGTCAGTCCAAGCTTCGTTTTGACGATTTGTTCCAAAGCGAAAATGCTCATTCCCACGTCTGACGCCATCTTTCTCATGCTCCTGTGTGGGTTTCGCCTGATCTTCGATTTAACGGCGTTGAACTTCTGAGGAGTGGTTACCGAGACGAGTCTTCCTTATCTGGGACGGTCACTGGTCGTATTTAGTTCCTTGAAACGTTAGATGATGTCGTAAACCGTTCTAAGAGGCACACCGAGGCGTTGAATGATGTCTCTCAGGCTCACATTTTGCTTATGAAGTTCGATAATGGAAGCGCAATGGATGTTAGCCTTCGCCATTTCTCGGAAACACATCCGAATGAGGTAAAACTTGGAAAGTAAGTAAAATATACCTTATTTAACAAAAATAAATTGTATTGGTGCACGAAAAGTGCGACAGCCAAGCTCTTCATGGCGTCAAACTTTTGTGCGGGAACTTAAATGACACCCTGTACATCTGTACATCTGAAGAAACGCGTATTTGAGATTTGGGTATTCAGCGAATATACATAGCTGAACTTGATTGACAATCTATGATTGATGAGGACACTTTAATGGATTAGTAGAGAATGCTTAAACCACTTAATTTTCTGAAAAAAAACAGATATATCTATATATACTGAGTTGCAGAATTGTTTATTCTCTTCGGAATATTGTGATGTCTGTATAAATCATAATCTCACTCAGTTCCACTCAGATTTGTATTTTCAATGCAGTTCAGAAACACCTAGTCTTATTTCTTCAACTTAAAGTAATTTGATGAATATTAAAAGTCTTGCCTTCCAAAATAATCTGAAAGGCTTAAAATTTGAATTTTTGGGTATGAAGATATATAAATCGAAACATTGTTATAAATATAGCCATATGTAATTGAAAAACCACAGAAAATTATCATAAGAAGCGAACAGTTGTGGCGAAAATCTTAAACTGGAAACCCGAATAATGATTAGAAAATTCGTTGCTGTTCTTCCTCTTTGATCTCAAAAACTTGCGTAATTCGCCGTCGATTTCATATCTCTTCCTCAATTTTTTTGTATCATTTCATTTGGCAACAAGCAGGTTTCCGCTTACACAAAAACGATTATGGGTGTTTTTGATTACACGCGGAATTAAAAAAAAACACACACACACACATGAAGCTGCGTATTTCGAAAGTGATTGATGCATATTTGAGCGCAATACAAAATGTGCGAAGCGAACAGTCGCCTTTTTCGGCAATGTGTTGATGGAGCCGTCAACACATTTTCATCAACTTGAGAAGGTTGCTAAAGGCAGAACGGCCCATGCGGGTGATGAACGCGCCGCCCAATAATCGCACCACGAGCCACCACCACTGGCAGTCGGTAGTCAAACTCAGTTCGTTCCGTCCGTTTTGCCACGCTTCGTCATTATTGCGACATGTCCAGAATTATCAACGACGTTGTTCTCCACAATATCTGCCTTCATTCTGATCCTGATACGATCAGTGCATTGCAAAGAACATGCTATGTTAACAATCAGCTTATCAAGCAGCATCGATACATGTACTCGTAAGTTATTTGTTTCAATATTTAATTTATTAATTTAATCAAGCCAGAAATATTAACGTTTCGGATTTTCAGCAAAATTCAATGCAAAACTATCTTCTTCGACTTCAAACCAGCGGAAAATGAAAAATCTATTAGGACATTTTTCAATGAGCCTTGGCGTCAAAATGTAACCCGCAAAATAATAATATTTACTAATAAACTTCTCCTAATTCAGAACAAAATAACCCTGCACGAAAAGACGGAATTTCAGCAAGCGTTGTACACTTTGCAGCCAGAGTGGTTCGTATGTAATGTTCACGAATGGTTGTTATCATTGCACCAAAAATGGTGGAAGGGAGTTATGAAAGTAAGTTAGAAAATGATTTTTCTGTCGAAAATTGTCATTATTTTCTTACAGATTGAATTCGTTCTTAATCAAAACGAAACAATTGAAAATTATCTTCACCTTTTGAGAAGTTGTTGCTTCTTTCGATTGGAAACGGAAAGAATTGTTCGAATGGATCCGATTCTTGAAAATATGAAAGCTCTTATCCATTTAAAGTTAGTTTCGCGAATCAACAGTTTTCGCAGTGTTGATTAGACATTACTACAGACTCTCGAATGGATTAAGTGGGAGCATGATTTGCACTCCAAATACAATCAAGTTGATGGTGGAGAAGTCGAAAATTGGAAATGGAATCGAAGAAACTCTCGTTCACAACACCAACGACTATTTATTCAGTGCCGAAGAAATTGCATATTTTGTGAAGGTTTGTTACATGATTTTTAACAAATAATTAAAATGAAATACTTTCAGAACGCCAAGTTTGCGAAACCGCGTCCAACATTCCTTCGTGCATGTGTCACTTTCGGAGCCGTATGTTGCCGACCAGACGATATTCGTGAAGAATTGAAGGACTTCGATAATGTTACTTATGGCGCCAAATATTCCTATTTTTGCCTGTGGAAAGGCGACTTCGAATTGGTTCTCACCATTGATAAGTTTTTCACAAAAGACAGCAATGGCGAACTAGTCCAATTAAACTTTATCTAGTAAAAATTAAATTGATCCTATTATTCTAACTCTATTTTTATCAATGTTGTTTCTTACTTCAATTGTAATATTAATAATTTTACAAAATTAAAAAATGTAATCACAACATATTAAGCCGTATTAATGTGTACATATTTTAAAAGATAAATTGATAACGCTTTTACTACCAATGGAATTTTAAATTGCTTGCTTTATTCAGCTGTTCAACAAAACATTTCAAACTATATTAATAAAATCACCGACAATATAATCAACAATAGAAACCTATAATGCGGATTTAGGCGGCGAACCTTTCTTTTGACATCTAAATTTTTGGATTTAGAGTCGGATAAGTTATTTTAAAATTGAACATACGCTAAAACTTGGTCCGCTTCTCGTTTTTTCAACATCTCCACTCTTCTCTCTTCGTAAAATTCTGCACAACTTTTTGTTCGTAGTCGAGCAGACGGTCGAACCGTCGGCAATTTGCCTGTTATTAAAGAATGACCTTCCGAAAAATAAATTTTTATTCATACTTGCATAAATCTCTCCTTCTTGCGTGATTTTCTTTGTGTATTCGCCAGCGTCAACGTACCACGATGAAATAATCTTTCGAATATTCTCGGGAATTGATTCAAAGGTTGGATAAACGGCACATTGCATCATAACGTCATGAAAATCTTCGGACAATTCTTCACTAATTTCATCTTTATTATCGTTATCAATTATTTCTTCGTATAGTCTTTGATCGTAATCGTCAGTTCCTAAGTCTTCCATAAGAGGGCTATAAAACAATTTATTTTGTAATGGGAAATTTTAATTCTTTTTGTTTACCTATACAAATCCCACGTATTCGTGCGAGGGAATACACGAACAAAATCGCCGCGTCGCTCATTTTCAGCTTTTGCTTTCCTTATAATTTGATCCATTTTTTGCTCAGCCGGTGTAATTAATAATGAAGATCCGCTGGCATATCTGCGATTCAGAACACTACGCTGAAATGCATAAACATTTTTATAAAATGAGTAATGTAATAAACAAACCTTAATTCCAAGTGGCCGCCGTTTTATAGTTTTAACACATTTTGGATCCATTTCCAAAGGTTCAGCATCATCTTGATTCCCTGAATTATTGTAATAAAAATTGTATACCAATCAGTTGTATTACCATTTTCGTTTGACATTCTGAGGGTCGGCGTAAGTGAATCAATGATTCGCCGCTCGATGAGAGGAATGCAGGCCAAGTTCAAAAGATCTGCGACGAGACGTGTTTTAATAAGCGAATCAAGAGGAGCATCACTGAAATTAATATTTATTTTCGAAAACCTTATAAATATTGAACAGATACCATGCTAGACTTGGAGAAAGATTCACTTCCAATAACCATGGTTTCAGAGAATTATCCACAAGAATATCAAAACCAAAAAGCTCGAAATTTGTTCCAACAAAGCGAAGAGCAGTTCTGAAATCAAAATTATTGCCTACTAACTTCGATTATTGCTCAGTTTACTTGCTCGCGGTTGCAACGGAATTCTGGATCGACAATAAACTTTTCACAATAATGTCTTCGATCCTAATCATAAGCACTGAAATCAAAAATTCCAAAGAATGGAAAAGCAACAAAAATATTCTTACACTTCGCATCATGCCCTTCGCACTCCACATATCGTAATAATGCTCCGAGTGTCCATTTATGTCCCAAATCCTCGGAAGACATGCTCTCATTTCGCACAAAAGATGTCGAATTTTTATTGATGCTGTAGTTGGTTAAATGGATGTATTCGTTGGATTCGGTAGAAGAAATCGAGGAATCATAAGGCATTGAGGCAAGTCTAAAAGAAACGGATAAATTAAGAAGAACAACAACTGGGATACCTTGCTAATCCTTCTGAATACACATAGCAAACTAGTGGGTAGAAAGATGTTACGGCGACATAAATCCGCAAATCAAATTTATGTTTATTTACCAGCAATGGATCGGCAAGGTAACGAGAAACCAGAAGCGGATATTCAGTCGGAATGTCCTCAATCTGGAATCTGAACATGAACAATGAACTATTTCGAAATTTGCACTTTGTTCGCAAAGAAAATTCCTTTTCCTTGTCGAGAATTCGTCGGTTTCACAATAAATTCGCCGGGGTAGTTGTATTTTGCGCGCTTCTCATTGACATCACGATGCAATTTGTCAAATGCTTCTTTCATCTTCCCCATTTCACGAGGAGTCACATAAAATTCGGGAATCTGTAAAATTTCCAATAAACTTTCGTCAAATTTATTAAAATTCCTGACAAAATCAAATGCCTCGCCAAAAATTGATTGTGCACGCGCAATATTTTCATAAAGTCGATCTTTTTTCGTCAATTCCGTCGTTCTTGGAAACTGATTGAGGCGTTGCCTAAATTATTCCAATAATTTTCGTTTTTTTTATTTTATTTTAACAATCATACCAAGGCAATAATTCTCGCATTTTTGGAGTCTTTACTGGCGCCCCTGACCAAATAACTGTTGCCATTGGATTTTTACTAGAACACTAAATAAAAAAAATAGTTTCTTTAAATCGGTGCAATTCTACCTGCAAAAACCCGTGACTGTGAAGCATTGTTCTCACCAACTTAGAATTACTTCGGTTCATTTTAAAAGAAAGACGAAGCCGTTCGCCTAACCACGTATATCTGGCAATAATTGAATCATTTTTCAAAAAAATTTTAAGACAGTAACTTACTTGTCTAAAGATTTTGAATCATCCGAAATATGTTGAAGAGCATCCGCAGTGAATAGCATATACTGTAAACTCTGGTTTAAAAGTACGTTCAATTTTTTTTTGGTAATTCCTAAAAATAAGTTATCGCGAATCACTTTAAGACTATCACATTTTAGCTTTATGAAAAACAGAAAATGGAAATAAAAAATATGTAAAAATAAATAACACATTTTTCCAATTTAAGATTGTAAAAAATGCAAATTAAATGGAATTTTTTAGATTTCATGAATACTTCCATTAAAAAAACATTAAAACTCAGTGATTAATAATGTGAATCAATTCTGTCAGTTCTTAAAAAATGAATGACTTACATCGCTTGATTTGTATTTTCTGCGTCGTTGTACTATACATTGTCCGTTTTCAGCATTATCTCCATCTCCCAATTTACTGAAACACAGATTATTGGCCAGACAATTTTTTTTTAACGAAGCCGACTTTTCTAATCCACTGTCCTTATTGGGCGACATTTTCAAATCAATAATTTCCAACTCCGTGAAATACTCCTCCAAATAATTGTCAGGATGCAATTTAAACTTTCTAAAATTCCTTGAAATTGGAAAAGGAGTTTTCCTAAAAACGAAATCATTGCAAAAACAAAATCTAGAGAAAATATGATAAATGGAAACACACCTTGTAGTATTGAATTTTGGTTTCATATTCAGTAAAACTGAATTTTAGGCCAATAAAATTTGAAACAATATATGTATATCATATCAATGATACTACAAGGCGTACAGAAATTCAAGGCCACAAAGTACATTAGCGGATGTTAAACCGCGTGTAAAACATATCGATAAAAGTAACTCATTTAAAATAATGCCAATAATTTATAAACATATATACATACAGCGAATTGGGTTTTTCGAGCATTTTCAAATAGAAATAGAAACACTCGGAACGAGGTGGAATATTGTTGGAAACATATTGGATATTGATGCATAGATTGATGGAGAAAGACCAGATGGGAGCACAAAATGCACGTTATAATGCGGTAGGCAGTCGAGATTTGTGCCACTACACACCTGCAAAAATACACTATTTATCAGCGGCAGAACATTTTTTAACCTCCATTAGGTATCCTTTTACACATTTGTATACCATTTCAGCTCGTTTAATACACCATGCAACTGTTGTTGACTAAAAAACGCATACAGAAATAAGAAAAAATAAAGAAAATCCAAATACAGTGCGAATTATAAGGCCAACCCCAAATTTGAGAAAAATAACGTCTGGGAGGAGTTAGTGCGGTGTTTTTATGGCCGAGGAAAGAAGTTGGAGAGTTCAAAACCAAAATCGTCGAGTGAAAGACGTTAGAGCAGAAACTCAAATCTAAATCGACCCAATATGTTTCAAACCTTCTCAAATCGATGTCAGACGTTACCTCGAATGGAAGTGCCACCAAATACTTAACTGTTTTTATCTTTAGGTTTATAAACAGTTTGTTAAGGTTTTTTTTGTTTAGGGTTTTAGACCACTTCGCGGGTACTTTTTAAAGATTCTAACATAAAAATTGGGACATATAGATTATTTTTCATTGTGAACACGATTATAACACTGGGTGGTCGGAAAATATCAAAATAATTGCGCGGCGCCAAATTCGGGGGTGGCCTTATAATTCTGCAACGCGCTGTATGGCATTAAAATAATATCGAAACCGCGTTACAAAATTGAGTAGATTGAAAATTTCAACATTTACAAGAGACGAAATTAAAAAAAAAACGAAAAACATGTTTTGCGCTCACCTCATCAGGTTTTTCAATAAGAAATAATGGAAGATGAATAGAAGTAATTCCATAGTGCGACGTCATACGAATAATATTTCGTATCCCATTAAGACAAGGATGTCTGACATATTGAACATTTTCTTTAATGGGTGTTTACGTTCCAAACCTGCTAGATATTTCCTGAGTTTGAAGGGACTCGTCAACGACAAGATGAAAAGCGATTTGAATTTTATGCAAATTCGAATGCTTCGTGCAATATACATCTCCGACGGAGAACGTCGAATCTGCACGAATCGGTTTCTCGGCTCCTGCCGATTCTGAGCATTCAACTCTCCATTCATTCGCCTTTCGTATCTAAATTAATGTATAACGCTAGTTCCCCACAACATTTCCTCACAGATTGAGCGATTTGATTCAGCTGGTCCGCGAGCGGCTCAAAATGTAACTCGGTCGATTGTTCGCAAATATTGTAAAATTTTGACGATGAATTGACGTGATGCATAGGATCGGGAGGTACCAGGAGAATCACCGCTCCAAGATTCCGCCCATACAATTTGGTGGCCATTTCAAGACGCGTCGAAATGGTCCAATCATTCTAAAATAAAAATAAATTGATTGAACTTGCCTTTTAATTGGGTTGTACCTCACTTGTTTTGCACAAATCGGTTATGTTATTAACAGTAACAAGGCAAGCATTGTGCATAGATTTTAATTGAGCGCCTGAATATTTCAAAATCTGTCAATATTCGAAAAAATTGATCGAAAACGATGTGTTTTGAAATGAGAGCTTCAAATTCGAAAGATGGAATAAAGTTTTGAGAAAAAAAAAACAGAATTCGCTAAAAATTCGAAGAAGCTTATTCTGACATGTCAGAAGATTAAAAAACGTTTATTTCTTTTTTTTTCATTTCACGTTTTCAAAACAAACAAATCATTGTCATGCGGGGGTTTTCTACGAAACGGCTTAACCAGATGTGAATTTACGAGCACATAGTTTAAACTAACACTTCGCTAGTTCATACGGGGCTCAACAAACTATTTCCTCTTATATCTTAGAAATATCAATTCTCTTTATTTTTGAGAGTATTGTAAGACAATATTAACTTTCAAACTGTAAAATGTAGCACATATTCTTCTACATTTAACGGTGTAAATAAAATTGATGAAAAAAATTAAATAATTTGCAATTTTTTTATATTTTTTATTGCATGAATAGGTGCAATGGAGATTAAACATTAAAAAAAACTGCAACTAACAGACGATCAAACAATACAAATAATATATTTGTCGCAAGTATTTCGCAAAGCAAGCGCTAGGTGGTAAAGCAAATAAAAAAATCCGTGCCTCAAGCTTTATGACGTGATCAAACAGCTGTTATCGATTCTCACTGTGATTTAAACAATCCCTTTAAGTATAAATTCTGATTACTACTATATTTTTCGTTTATTGTGAATATAAGTAGTGAGAAAAACATTGAGTTGGTTGTAATGAATACGTAAAATTCGCAGGATTCTAATTAGAACGTTTAGCGGAAATAAAAAAGAATGTGATGAATGTTACAATAAAACGGATATTTGATTGGGATATATGAGTTCAGAAACCGATGAAATATGTGAATCGTCAGAAATTGTTTTTTTTTTCAGCTCAAAGCAGTTCGCACGCACGAAATTTGAGAGAAACAAACGACACATACCAATATAAATCGTGAAGCTTTCGTTGATCCCTTCGATATTCTCCTCTTCATTTTCGCCAGGTCTAAATCGAAACACATTGTCGCAAGAAAAATGAAACTCTGCTCGGATTAAATTTGACGATCAAGCATGTGTGGTTCTTTTTTCTCTTTTATTTAATGCGTGCGAAGTCCCAAATTTGGTAATTTCTCGCATGAAGTTGTCTGGTTAAAAATATTAAAGATCAATGCGGAAAAAATTAAAAAAAAAGGAAAAAATGGACTAAATTTCAATGCAGAAAAAAAGAATTTTTCCTTTTTTGGAGTTATTTTTTCAATTTTTTAAAATTGATTTGCTTCAATCAAGGAAGATCAAATTGCAAACTTTTTTGGAAATGAAAAATAGTAATTAATCTTAATATTTCAAAATAAATTTTCTTACATTGAAACGTCGTTTATGTCGATTTCATCGACCAACTCTGCCGGCAGACTTCCATGATAACACAGCGATTCTACAGCTTTCCTAGAAAGTAAATAATTTCACGAGGAATCTTTACTCTCCAAACCTGTATTTGATCCTTTGAGATTCACACAATTCCGACACTTGAAGAGAATACGTACGGTAAATTTGCTAAATAATTAGAAAATTATCGTTTTTACATCTTCGGAACCACACCCGTAGTTTCTCATTCAACATGCTGACTTTATGCGGATGAATATCTTCAAGGTCTTCACACATAATTTTCTCGCATCGACTAGAAACTTGTTGAACTTCCCAGTTTCGAGCTCTGATCATTTCAGACATCTAAATTCATTCGATAAGCTTAAGAACGCGGATTGAGGACAATACCTGCTTTTTCATGCAGCATTCCATTTGCATGAGTGTGAGAAGATTCTGGCTGGAACATTTTGACACCACATAAGTAAATTTTTCAGCAAATGTTCTTGATTTGCTAAGACATTTCGGCGAGGATCCCCTTATCCCCTGAATAATTTATGGATTATCCACATTGAGAAGTGCAATCATATAATACATCTGGCAGATATCGGTTCCTATGACTGAAAAAGTCCTGAAGAATAGATTCACTTTCCTGATCCTCGTATTGTTCGGTTCTATTTACTATAAACTTTTTTAGTTGCTCTCGAGTATCTGCAAGGAGTTACTTTATTTTTTACATAAAAACTGCTTAGTTACCATCAATTGACACGAATTTTCCAGTTTCTGTTGAACGAACAGCACCAACGTAATCGTTGATATCTGTATTAGGTAGTAACGGCACTGGAATCTCGATAGTACACTCCTGAATTACATTTTTTACGAATAAACGAGTGAAATTACCTTATCCAAGCCTTGTAAAACTTCAATATTGGGCAAAACTGTTTTGAATTGCTCTAGCATATCGACATCTATAAAACTGTCATTTATTTTTGTCTGCAACATTTTTTTCAACTTCATGCAACCAAAAAAAAGTATTATTTTGGGAGAAATAAAATAAACATACAAATTCTGCATAATTGCGTCATGAAATTGGCCAATACGACGAACTTTTACGGACTGCTTATTGCCTTAAAAAATTCAATAATTTATTGGAAAAGTCCATTTTTGTTTCAACTCGTTTAAACGGCTCAATATTTCTGTTTAAAACGTAAAATTTAAGTGAAAGCAAATTAAATATGATTATTTTAGTTTGTTAAAGTGCATCTGAACAAAAGCAAATCATTCTTTCGTGCTGATATTTTCTCTTATCGAAAAAAGCATAGACTAAAATAATTTAATGCTTTGAAATTTTCTGTATTTACAAAACTGATTATAACCGATTGATGTATATATAATTTGAGCTTCGCAAGTTAAAAATTTTTCTTCATTTGATGAAAAATCATTGTAATAAAATTAGTCAAAATTCAACCTTCAGCGCCTATTTAGTTACGTCAAAGTTTAAAAAAAATCTTTAAAACCTGAAAGAGTAAATTTATTTTTCAAACTTTTGAAGAGTTTGGAGTCTTAAGTAATATTATTACATTGATACATTGTCAAACATTAATTAATTTATTAATTAACAATGATTTGGTTTCAAATAATCCAATTCGACGAAATACTACTGTCTAAATCTGATCTCTTTCTGCAGATTAATAATAATAATGATAATAATATGTAGTCATGAGATTAATTTTCTTTTCAATCCTGTTTACTAAATCCAGTAAAGTTTTTACTAGGAATGAAAGCATCACTAATTGTAAAAACAGTTTAATTTTCAACTAAAACGAATAGAAAAATTACCTGTATTTTAGTATGAGCGACGAAGCAGTCCCCCGCGTTTTCATTCAATACGATCAAGCTTCCAATTCGTATCGTTCAATACCTACGTGCAATTCTCCTTTTATCAACGTTCCGGCATCATCTCGCCCATCAACTTCAGTTCTTGAAAACTATCGAGACCTTTCTAAAGATTTAGGGGGATTCTGTCTGTCTGAAAATCATTGGTTTGATTTCAATTCCAATATTCGACGAAAGCGAGAATATTACAGCGACGTCTATTTCATATTAGATTCCGGAGCTCGTATACCAGCTCATCGTTTGATTCTTGCCGCAAGAAGCCAATATTTCCAAGCACTTTTGTACAACGGAATGAAAGAAACTGAACAGAAAACTATAAATTTGAGAGATACAAATGCGGAGGCGTTCGAATATATTTTAAAGTATTGAATTTGCGCGAAATCTATTATGTCATGTATTATTAAGATATGCCTACACTTCGACACTCGATCTTGCTGAAGTTGAATTGGGGCTTCTTCTTGAAATTCTATCATTAGCTCACCGTTATCATCTACAGACACTTGTAACTAGTCTCGGTGACTATTTGAAGGTAATATTTTTTTATATGAAATGTAGAAAAAAACCGAAATAATTATGAGAAGTATCATCGAATAAATTGGAATCATTTCGAGGCAAGCAAAAGTTCTTTAGATAGCATAATAATTGAGATCTTTTTTTGGTTTTTATTGATTGGAACAAATAATGTCCTATAAGAATTTCGCGAAAGTTGTACGCGAACTGTGACAATAATCGAGGTTTAGAAGTTGCTCAACAATGACAACATGTGCAATATCCTCAATGCCGCCCAATTCTTCGGGCTCGTTGATCTCGCGGACTATTGCTTAAAATATGCGGATCGTCATGCTGCAAAAATATTGTCAACTCAAGTTCGATTTGTGGTGTTTAATATAGGACTAACTATGAATTCAGGCATTCCTTGAGTTAACTTGTGATAGTTTCTCTCAAATGCTCCAACGCGATTCATTCTACGCACCGGAAATTGAGATTTTTAATGCCGTCAAAAGTTGGGTCGACAGTAATCCAGATGAAGTGAGTGAAAATTCGAAATGGATGCTGTCATTTGTTTGATATTTTGATATAGTGTCGTTTTTAGAGTGTTCATGTGAAGTGAGGATCCCTCGGTAAAAACACAAGAAATGGAAGAAAAGGGCGACGAAAATGTGAATGTTGAGCGGGGCATATTCATGTAAAATTGCGAAATATTTTATGGATTTCAACGATTTACTGTTGAATACATGCATGTGTCTCGCTCCGTTGTAAATTTACCCGTGGATTTTTGTGAAATTGTTCTAAATTGGTGCGACTCTTGCAGAAATATAAAGTTTCTTTCTTATTAATAGACTTTTGCAATAAAACTAGAAAAATTTTTTCAGAGAAAAGGATACGAGCACATTTATCGAACGATTCGGCTTCATCTCATTCCACAAAAGGATTTACTTGAAACTGTCAGACCATCGAGTATATGCGGATTGTATAATTATGAAGGGAAACATTAAATTTTTAGAACTTTTTGATTCCGATTCTATTCTTGACGCAATTACACAACAAGTCAAAAAAGAGGCAAATTACAACTTCCGAGGTATTAAAGGTTTGTAATTGTCGACCTTAGTGCTTCAAATTAATGCTTCATATATTTTTAGTCCTCGACAGTAACATTGCCACTTCATACAATGGAGCTGCTGTGATTTGTTCGGATAACGAACAAGGAAAGAAACTTCTTTGCGAAGAAGTCCCTGATGAACAGAAATGTGCCATTCATTATAATCCACGTCAAGTCAGTCAATACAGTTCAAAGCAAGGAATCGTTGTCGATCTTGGACGTCCGCACATTCTAAATTTGATTATTATGGATTTGTGCGCAAAGGTTGAGCACCAAATGTACTCGTACACAGTTGACGTAAGTTCTAAGAATATTCGAATGTTGCAAAATTTCGACTTCATTCTGTACAGATTTGCATTGACAATGCTCTAGAGATCAACTGGATTCCAATTGCTGATTATTCTTTGTACGTTTGTCGCCGTCGTCAGAGAATCTACTTCACCGATAATGTTGTTCGTTTCATTCGCGTCCGATGTGCGGATAAGATGTTCCCAAAACTAGTAATCAAACGATTCGAAGCAATGTACTGCTCAAGCCCAATGCCAATCAACTCACGTTGGCTTCTCACTGCTCCCAACACAAATGTTGCGCTTATTGAGAATGACGCGCTTGTAGTGGAAGGTATCTCACGCTGTAGAAATGCTCTTATTAATGGGGATGTATCGACGTACGATTGGGATTCTGGATACACTTGTCATCAGATTGGTAGTGGAAGCATTGTTGTTCAATTGCCGCAACCATATGTTATTAGCACAATGAAGTACGATTTATTTAAATTTATATGAAATAATCATAACTGATCTTTTAGAATACTTCTTTGGGACTGCGATGATCGATATTATTCGTATTATGTCTCGGTATCCGCTGATCAGGTTGAGTGGAAAACTATTGTGGATCGTACTAAAAAGAAGTGTCGCGGTTGGCAATATCTTGAATTCGATCCAGTTCCGATCGTGTTCATTAAGCTTGTTGGAACTCGCAACTCGACTAACGAAGTGTTCCATGTAGTTCACCTCGAGGCACCTGCAGATCCGAATTCTGAACAACCGGGACCATTGGAAGCCCAAGATATAATTGATGGAGAAGATTGAGCATTTTGAGACTTAAAAAAAATAACATAAATAATTTATTTTTACTGTATCTTTCACTCTTCCTCCTACGCTGCCATTAAGTGATAAAGAAATCGCAAATAGCGTGGAATCCCCAGATACTTTGATTCAAAAACCAGTTTTTGGTAAACGAAGAAGCAAGCGCCGAATCATCAAAAAGGAAATGTTTGTTTCACTTGATAAAGTTTTTTTTTAACAAATGCCTTAATTTTCAACTTTACTACAAATTTAAGCGAGCCGTCAATTTAATCTGAAAATAGTGTTGCAAATTTTGTTCAATCCTTTTAATAAAATTCAGGATGCCCATTTTCGTGATAAACAAAGACGACGAAATTACACTGCCTCGATCAATACTGATTGTCGATTCTCTTTGTTCAGCGCCATTTAAAACGTTCATCTTACACCGTTTCTCATTTGTTTTTCAGATGCTAAAAAGCAACGCTTGGCTCTTATTTTCTCTTATTTTCCTAACGTTTGTCATAGCGAGATATGAGGACAGTAAGGTGTAAAAACCAAATTCATCTTATTTTCACATTTTAGAATATGATCGATCAAAAATGCCATGGGATCTCAGACCAATTGACCGATTCATAGGTTTATGGTCTTTGCAGGTTTATAACCATTTTAAAAGAGAACAAACATGTATGATTTTCAAATAATTTGAAGGGTTCATCCGGAAGAATGCGCGACCTTCCACCACCAAATCAAATCGACTATTCGATCAATCCGATTCCGAAATTCGGAGCTCGTGCTGTCAACGTAACGTGGGTTTTTCATTTTTTATAATGTTGTAAGGTTTTTTGCAATTTGAAAAACAATTTGTTCACGCTTTTTTATTTATCGTATATACTGCTTCAGTCACACATTTTTTGACCGGGGAAGCGTTGTCCGACATGATTATGGATTCATGCCAGTAAAAAATGCGACGAGAAGAGATCCAAGAGTGCACGTCGCCTATTTAACGACTTCCAGTCAAGGATGGTCAATGATGGAACAGGGGCAAGTGAAAGACGGCAAGATGACATTCCATTTGAAGCAGTTTATGCGAAGAAGCTTTGATGTTGGAAACAATAACAATTTAGAGATTCGCGAGGTACCATTCGATATTTCTATTTAACCGAATATAATGTTTTATAGTTCGAAAGACAGCTTGAGCTTCCGGATTACAACACTTTGATAATGAAAATTCGCGCGGAGACCGCTTACGACACTGAATCGTACACTGCCACTTATCGTAGGATCTACTAAGCCCTTATGCGTATGACTTTATAACTTGCGGAAATCAAAAACGATAAAAGAAATATGTGATTAACCCAATTGCTCTTCGGCGTCTACACTAAACAACTTGAAAGCATCAAACCAATCTCCATGCACAATGTTAAACAGATGTGGATGTCCGTTGACAGCAAGCACGAGAAGGGTTTGATCATCATCAACGTACTTCTGATAAATCAATTGCACGAACTTGCGAGATATTAGATGATGCAATTGTCCGATTGAGCTGAAGAAATTTTTTTTTCATGTTGTGGGGGTTTCTTTTGTTCCTTTCAACTAAAATCAACTCAGAACATTTCATACAGTACCACAGAGCAAGATACGAAATAATTAATTTTCTTCATAACTTTTGAACGAATGATTCAATGAAATTTTTAGCACAAATTTTTAAAAATTTTTTAGCACAAATAAAAAAAAAAAGATTTAAATGTTTATCACTTTCACTTCGATTGGACCACTCGTTCAAAGATAATGACGGAAAATAATTATTTTATATATTTTTTTCTGCGGTGCTGTATATATAGATATGTATATACTTACTGTTTATCGCCAGCGATAAATCCACCACTCAAAACCGCCCAATTCTTGCGGTATAACTTATCAAGATTGTAGCTCGAAAGCTTGTCATAGACGGGTGTTAACTAAATGTTTAATCTGGTTTAATAAGTTGCAAAACTTGAATCGAACCTTTATAAGCGAAATCTTTTTATCAGGGAATGCTGGTCTCCATACATTATTGTACGGGAAGACGCTCTGATTTCCGTGACCATATCCGGCATCAAGCCAAATGAAATAATCGGTATCGAATGGATTATCAATTGTGACATTGTGCAGAAAATGCGTCTTCGAATTGACAACAATGTTATACTCAGCACTTTTTGACTCCGGATGTGTCTTCATATCTTCATCGGCAACTTTTCTAAAGTTTAGAAATTAAAATATGAGCGTTTGACCAATAGAATGTTACGAGTAGAATGTGTCATTAGCAAGCTCGGCTTTAATTATCTCGCGAGCTTCGTTAATATACCCGTACAACGGAAGTTCTTCTATCGAGATCTTGTAAACCTGGAATTGAACAATCAATGGAATCAGAGCAAAAAAAAAAACAAATCGAACCCGTGTCATATCTTCAAGTCCCAACTTCTTCCTATAACTCAGTGCAAAATCGTAGCTATGATCATCGACAAATATCACCATTTTGTTGCGAAGTGATAAAACATTCTCCATAAACATGTGGTACTTTTCCAATGGTCTTCGATATTGCCACCAATCTCCTCTGCCAATGTCAATGAGTCCTGTTACTATAGTTACATCACGCTCCTCATTTTTCAATTCCGGAGTTGCTGGCTCAGGTTGGCGTTGCCTAGATCTAGCACTAGTTGTTTCTGTTGCCGTAGTAGTTGGTTCAGTGCTCGTCGTCGTCGTCGTCTCTTCTTCTTCTTCTTTTATTTCCTCTGTCGTCGTCTGAATTGCGGACACCCAACTTGTGGTTGTTTCCGGCAACGTTTTTAGTGTTGTTGTTTCAATTTTCCGTGTAGAGGAATCTAATACGAACCATTCTGGTACTTTTGGATGTTCACTGTGATGATGATGAATTTCGATATGTTGTTGATGCTTATGATGTTGACGATGATGATCTCCATTATGTTTCTGTTGATCACGATGATGTTGCTGATGATCTCTATGATGCATCTGGTGCTCTCGATGGCGATCTTGATGATGGACTCTATGATGAACAGCAGACGTTCTTCGCTCATATGGAGTTCTATAACTTGACGTCGCCGGAATAATTATACGGTCCATGATAGATCCCGGATAATGAGGACTAATTTGAGTTGTGACACCAATCGACTCAGTAGGGGCTTCAGTTGTTCTTGTAGTCGTCGTCGTCGTCTTTGTTGTTGTTGTTGTTGTTTCAATTGTTTTTTGTTTTGACGTTGTTTCCGGAGCTGAATATACTCGGGTAGATGTTTCATAGCGGTTTTCGTGTTGATGATGGCGGTGATGATGGTGATGTGTTTGGTGAGGTTTGTGATGGTGCCGATGATGCGGCGGTATTGCTGAATTGATCGCAGTAATTGGAGGCAAAGTCATCCATTTTGTTGTCGTCGAGTGAATTGTAGAGGGTGTTGTGATACGTGGTCCTCTTGTTGTTGCATCCCATTGATACTTCCAGACAGTTGTCGCCGGTGTATCCTGCACTGTTACTGGGATCCCATTCTGAGTAGTGATTTCAAGAAGCTCTGTCGTGTGAGCAGTTGGTGTTGTAACGGGTACCGTTATTGTAGTCTCTTTTCGAAACCCAGTTGTAGTCGAGCCCAAATCGATCTTGTTGAGTTTCTCTTGCTTCTCCCGATATTTTTGCTCTGAAATATTCATGCTCCGCGAATAAAATCAAACGGTCGATTAAAATCGAAGTTGATCTCGAACGCCAGCTGTTTGCTCGACGATTTCATTTTTATCGTGATCGACACAAAAAAAACGTTTTAATGTTTACTCACCCAAATTCTTTTGATGCTCTCGATCTCGAAAATATCTAAGAATCTCGAGGAAACCGTAGGCGTTGAAAATTAAAAAGAAGATCACTGACAAACATATCAAAATAATTGTTGTCCACTGCAACCGCATCTGATCATCTGAAAGTGACGAGAAATGAATCAATCTTGATAGATATATGATTTATTTCTAGGTGATTATCAAGAAGATTCGGAAAAGAATAAAAAAAATAGCTGCACTTTAATTGATATAGAAACAAAGAAGCTACCGACTCGATGAGCTCATACACCATATTTGCACAATACCCTGTGTATATGTGTGTGTGTGTGTGTGAAAAATGGAAAAAGGAAGGCTCTCAATCAGCATGAGAAGCAAATAATAGGTTGGTAGTCGAGCTGCATGAAATGCTCCTTTAGGTGGGTGGATAGGAAATTAAGCACACACATTATTGATATATTTGATTGATCAACTTGGTTTTTTGAGCGCAAGAGTACAGAGTCAGGACAATTTTGAGTTGCGCAAAGCATACACTCGAAACGATACGAGCTGGTTGGAAAATGGTTCGGTTTTTGAACAGTTTGATTAAATAAATAGAGAGAGAGAGAGAGTCGAGAAAATCAATTGTTGGTGGAATCGAATTGTGAAATTTTTCATTTCTATAGAAATCTTAAAACGTGTTGAAGCATTACCCAAAATGTTTTAGTCGATGGCAGCTCGAAAAAGTGAATGTATATTAGCGACGAATTTCACAAAATCTCAGCCAACAAAAATTTTAATCGGAATTTTTTATATCCTTTAAAGGCTTCTCGAAATCGAATTCGGTTGAGTCATAAATTTCAGTTTTCTATGCCGATTTGTTGGCCGCCGCAAAGGAATAGAGAACACGACAAAGATCAAGAGGGATTTTTTGTGGCTTTGAAGCCACATTTAAATAGGCAACGAAAATCCATAAAACCCGCGAAAAAAAATGAGAATGGATTGAGCGAGCCGCCGACGATTGGAGAGGAGTAACGGAAAAAAAGTGTATGTGTCGGCATTTTTCTTGAATAATTTCTGTCGTTGATTCATCAATTCATGCTTGGCATATCGAAAAACGTAGGCGCCCGTTCGTCCGGCTGCGCTTCTTCATCTCTCTCGGTATTTCGCGAGGTATCGAAGGATTCTCGCGCGGGCGGAGAAACGCGTGCGAGCACACAATGAGCAAGAAATGCTGCTGCTGCTGGGGTTGCGACGACACGGGTGATGAAAATGAAAATGAACACTCGGCAGGCAGCCGAAATATTTATGCAAATATCACGAACACATCATCCTAAGAGTTTTTCGTACTTCGAACGTCAACATCGAAGCCAAAAAACAGCGAATCGCAATTTCTGTACGATTAGCGAATATGACTAATCCTTTATGACCGTTTTTCTTCATATACGGCAAAACCAAGCAAGAATAATTAGCTGAACCCATTATAATAGAAATTGGATCGTCTAATCGGAATCGTTGAAGAATTGATGTCATTTCAAATCACAAATGATTTCTGCTTTGAGCAAAAAAAAAACACACACTAGAATCGGATATAATAAATTTGACGGCCTCTCAAAAAACGGCACCCCGCAATTATTCTTCGAAATTTTGCTGTGAGGTAAAATTGCAAATAAGAAATGTGTGGTGGAAATTTAAAAAAAAAAGCGGCTGATAAAAATTAGAACCAATATAAAGAAAAAATCACTTGGCTCAAGATAAATGGCAGATATCAAGGTGCCAATGATTGATAAGAGAAAATAAGTAGGCGGTGTTGATCGAACGGATGAACACACCCGTATCCGGATCAAATCTATGCAATTATGATGATGATGAAAGCCTTTCTCCCATATTTGTTCAGAGGGCGGCGCACCAAAAATTTGTGTGTGCGCAAGTCTTAAATTAACAATATGCAAATGGATGGGAAACGTTTGAAATTTGATCTACTGCCAGCCGAGACCCTTATTAAGTTTCATGGCAAAACGGAATTTAAACAAAACAAACGAATACCATAACTGATTGATATCTGTCATTCATCAAATCGTCACTGATAGACGATCAACCGTCCCAAGTTACACAACTTTTGAAGAGAACTAGCCGAGTAACAAATTGTTCTTCTCGATAGCTAGTTTTTTTCGGTTTCGTTTTGATTTTTTCAATGTTGAGGGTTAAAACAACTGTTGCGAGAAAAAAGAACTGAACATTTGAAACACGGGAATCCGTTGAATTCGTGTTCGATTGTAATATGATTGAAATGCATAACATGATTCATTGCGTTTGATTCGATTCAACTTGATACCATTGGGTTTTTCGATTCCTCTTGTTCGGCAAGAATAGCAAAAAAAAAATCGTTGCGCAGGAATGTTCTGTAAATGTGATTACCCAGTTTTCCGACAAATTCCTATAGAAAGCAATTATCGAGGTTGGCAGTAAAATTTCACACAAAAAAGTCCATCCAGCATTTATGTTCTCGATTAGTAGGATGGTTTCAAAATCATGCTGCCTTTGTTGGCGGGTACATTTTAAAGGCGTGGTTGCGGTGATCACCTCAATCTGTCACATTTCCCATTTATCATTTAATAGACGATGCGCATCTTGAAAAGTTCACTTTGCAACATTTTTCATGAGATCATCGAAATTCACGTTGCTATTTTTTTCTTTCCATTTCTATGAATCAATTCAATATTTTCAAAAATAAATGCGTCATCGAGGTCTGGCAATTTTTTTCAATTTGATCTAGTAGTATAATGAATTGAAAATTACTCAGCAAACCGTGCCGTAGAAACGGCGGTGAAAACAAATGTCTTCGTCTCTCAAAATCACACCCACACTCTCTCTGAGACTTCATCGGCGTTTCACTAAAATCACGATTCTACACCACGATTTGCTAAATAAAGTATGCATCGAAAACACATTTAAAAAATATGAATGTTCGATTAGCGCGAAGATCAAAACGGTCAACGCGATTGATATTTTCAAAGTGTTAAATTTGTCCGTATTCCACAAAAGCTTAAACATAAAAATAAGCACGCATGCGTACGTGCGGAATCTGTACAGAAAATCTGTCGAAACTCCGTAGGTAGTCGATTTAAAAAAATACGAAAATTTCCTACCAAGCTTTCAGAAATATTAAAAAATTAATTAATGGCAAAAATAAAAAGGATCTAGACAAGAAATAAGCATGCAAAAGAAATGGAAGCAATACAAAAAATGGGTTGCTCGCACATCTTGAGATCACATTTAAAGGCAGATGCCCGAACATCTTTGAACGCCCACCTGGCACATGCATGGTCAATGCTTTGAAAAGACGGAATACATTGGTGGAAGGGTTTCTCATTTGCAGAAAACTAATAACAGCTGAGATTGGCAATCATACATATCGTTGGCTTCGAAACTGTTTACTTCACTTGCAGCACCTTATCATTCAAGGGTTTGCAAATTGATTTCAACGATATTAAATGACATGTGCATTTATTGAAAAGTTGTTACTATATGTAATTAATTGGTTACTAACTATACGCATAAACAAGAATTCATGGGTTCGATTAAATGCGGTGATTCAAGACTGTGAATGGTGCAATTTTCCGTTGAATGTCATTGTGCGCTATGTTGAAAATGGAGTTAATCACCAACCTAATAAGAATTCTGTATGTCCACATCAAACATTTATACATATTTTGTCGGGGTTTCGAAAGTTTAATGCAAAAAAAAGCGAATTCCGCAAACTAAAACATATTTCAATTAGAAATTTATTAGCAATTTGCCAAAAAGAAATAAAATTTGAATGCCTGAGTAAGTAATTAAGCAATTAAACATTCAACATGCGTTATTTTCAACTAAGACATTGCACCGGCAACATGCCATCAGAGAAATGTGAATAACCTGAAAATCAAATTATCCAAAATCCTATAATTAAAAATATTATGAAAAACGTTTTATTGAAATTCATTAGTCTATTTTTTTGTCTAAGAAAAACGGGAGATTTCATTATCGACGTCGCGCGACGGCGGAAAATTGACGAAATGGCAACAAATTTGAAAAGAGGTCTCGGTACGCAGTGCGCACCTTTAACATATCTTTATGCTTTGACCCGTAAATCTACACTTCTAGTTTTGCGTCAAGACCACTGCCATTGTTTTTTGGTATCTGGCCAGTTTTCCGCAGATGCGCGACGTCAGCAATAAGACAACGAAAATTTTATGTTGAATTAAACACCGCACGGACTGAATTTTCTAGTAGTGTTTCCCTTTGTAAATTTAATATTGCAGTTGCAATAGGCGATCACTCAGAGTAGATTTAGGTGAGTTCCAGAAAAATCGTAATACTGTATTCGAATTCCTACTGATTAAATTCAAATTTGAATTACTACTGCAAAAAGCCGGACCATTGCCATCAACCCCAAATTTCAACCCCTACCCCTGATTTTCCACCTCCAAAATTTAGCCCCTATTTTTATTTTTCTACCACCCACTAATTTCCACCCCCCCCCCCCGATTTTAGCCTCCATATTTATTTTTTTATTACCGGTCAATGTTCATTGACTTAAAATTTTTGCCTTGAGTATTTAATTATGTTCTTTTGGCCAATACCATAAATTTTCCTAGAAATGTCAGTGTTATATGGGGGAGGGGGTCTTAAGGGGTCCGAATTCAAAAGTTTTAAAATTTCAGAAAATGATGCTAAAACGTAAATTTTTTCACCAAATTTTCTGTTCTGCTCGAATGTCAAAATTTACAGTTTCTAACAGTAATTTTTACCTTTACTTTTTCAATACTTACAATAATTCAAGTTATCAAGAGGAGATTCGTAGAATTGTTGTCTAACTTTGACTTTTCAGAAACGATGTAGACTATCCTTATGAAAGAAATTTT